AGTACGTTCAAATATAAAGGCAAAACAGATAATAAATTTATTACTTGTTAATAATTTCTATCTAGAATTCAAAAGAAAAGCGACGAATTATTGTATACGGTTTGGTCACTCGTTATGGTCCGCGAATCAGTTGCCTGCGCAAGGGGTTAATATTTAGAGAACATTTTGTCCCAAAATTGCAATATTTCCTCAGTTTTAAGTACGTTCAAATATAAAGGCAAAAAAGATAACAAATTTATTACTTGTTAACAATTTCTATCCAGCGATATCGTACCGACGATTTAGGTTAGGTTTAGGTTAGGTCACTCGTTATGGTCCGTGAACCAGCTTAAGGGGTTAAAAAGATCGTGTTATTAAAAAATAATTTATTTGAGTTGTTACTGTTGTTAATTAAATCTCAGTCTCCCAACAGCAAAGTGTTAAATAGGTTAAGACACTTTGAAGGGGGCATCCTCGACCGGTTTTAACGTTTAAGATCTTGCCAATCACTTGGTCGTCGAGGAAGTTGAAGGAGAAGTGTTCGGTCTTGTAGACGGGTCACTTCGTGTTTCCACTTTGAGAACGTGTATCCTCGGCTTGGTGTACCGGAAGTGAGAGAAGGGGTAGCAGGTTATCGCTCGAGTCTCCCCGCTTTGGTGTAAATTCGACACGTTTTCTCGGGACTAGCAGCGATGCCTTGCAGAGGCATTCGTTCAGCAGACCGAAACGCAGCTTCCTTCTCGATCCCTTTCGCGCTTTTCGTCGGGGAAACTCTCGTAATAGGATAAGTTTCCGACGGCTCAACTCTGCCAAACCGGTTTCGCGAAGTTCCAACGGCGGTGCCATCTTTAACTATCCACGAGACTCGAATTTTCGTCGAGCACATTTCCCGGGATTTTCCAGCAAGGTTTCCAGCGATCGTCGATTTTCGTTTACCACTCGTGGAAAGGCGAATTTCCACCGTTCCGTCGGCGATTAGATTTGCCCGGCAGCTCGCTAATTATAACGAGATAACGGTTTGACACTGTCCGCCAAAAGACTTGGCGAACATTTTCATTTTGCAAAAGAAACGCGAACGTGCGCGGTTTCAGATAAATTTTCACAATATCCGAGAGACTGACGAAGAGGCCAGAGTTTAAATCTTATCAGAGA